AGGGACAGCAACTCGGCCCCCGGCTCAAAAAGGTTGCCTACCCCTGAGAAACACTTTTTATCTAGGAAAATATTTCAACAGACTTACAGTCTGGGAAGCAGGCTTTATTAGATGTAGCATTTCTTAGACAATATCAGTATTTATTTACCGTAAATAATATCTGAAGCAGAAAAATGGGGAAATATGGCAATTGTTCTCTCGCAGTCATGCAGATGGTTATGCATCTTAAAATAAACCCCAGTTAGTTCATTGGGACTTTAGGCAAGCATGCATGAGATTGTAACCATATTTTCCTCTGTCATAAAAGACTTAACATTTGTAGTATCTTAAAAGTCATTATAATGGCCTTATTAGAAACAATGAAATAATGTTTCAATCTGATCCATGTATATGAAGCACAAAGTTAATAGAAAGACAAATGTATATAAGACTATGTTCCTAAGTTCATTTACCTAAAAATAAGTTTTAGTAGCATCTGTTCAAATTACTTACAAAGAATATATTTAGGAATTTAATTGCTTTTAGAAGTCAATTCCACTGAAACTAATGGGCCTAATGAATGGGACTCTAAAGCAGATAGAAAAAAAAGTGAAAACTAATGGCTTTATGGCAAAGTTAAAGAGTACAGAATGTTGTTCCTCTGAAGATATGTAATTCTGATCCTGGCCTCAGCTAAAATCCATCTATGGATATATCTACACTGTAGAAATAATGCAGTTTGACACCACCATGGTTTCATCCTAAAGAATCCTGGGATTTATAATTTTGTGAGGCACCAGCAGAGTGAGGCAGAGAAGACTAAAGACCTTGTAAAACTACAAATCCCAGGATTCCATAGGATAGAGCTACAGCACTTAAAATAGTGTCCAAATGCATTAGTTCTCCAGTGTAGATGCACCCTAACACAGAAACAGCTTCTTTGTACAAAGCACTCTGCTGCTAAATACACTGGCCAAATTCCACAGAAGGGAACAGCTGCATGCTCAGAAGATCTTTAAACTTGAGTTTTCTCAAACAGCAAGCCCTTCACCCCATATAGCAGAGTATTTTTAATATAAGCGCACAACACACTGAATAGCCAAAATCCTTAAAACAAATTGCTGTAGAATTTAATTTGTATCCTGTCTTACTCCCATCATGGGACCCAAGGTGGCTTGAAAGATAAATTAAAACAAGGTACAGCTTAATGATCAAGCCACAATAATTAAACTAAATTAGAGCTTGGGAAAGTTATTTTTAGACTTCAGCTCCCAAGAATTCTCCAATCAGTATGGCCAGCAGCTATGCTAGCTGACATCTGAGAGTTATAGTTCCCCCTCCAAAAAATTTCTTGCAAGCTCTGCATTAAGCATCATACTGTACTCTTAGTCAGTCACTGAGTAGAAAACAATCTGCATAGAGTCTTTCCACCAGCCTGCCTGGCCTGCTGTCACCTGGCCCATCACCCCTTGAACTCCATCACTCTTCAGCTTAGCCGAAGGAAATGGAAAGAGTGAGGCACTTTCCTCTGGCCTACATGTCCCAGTCCAACTACCACCTGGCCCACCGTCAGAAGCCAGATGCTTTGCAGGAGATCACTTGGGCTTTTCATTTACCTTGACTATTGGGATTCAAATAATAAAGATGGGATATAAAATATATGGAATAAATATTCTGTCTTTGTGGGAACATTTTTGTATTGTTCCTTAGAATAACACCTGGATCTGACACTTTAATATATATGGAATAAATATTCTGTCTTTGTGATAAAAGTTTTTTTGCATCATTACTTATAAGCCAGTAACACCTGGATCCAACACTTTTAAAACTGTTACACAGAAATGCAAAACACAGCTCCCCTATACTTATTTTTAATGTCCCCATCAAGACAGTAACACAGTATTCCAGAGAGAAAAGTCTATACCATAGTTTGGTAAGAAATATACTGGAACACTTGAAGTTTCATTTTCCAACATAAG